CAACAGAGCTCTCGGCACCCTTTCACTCCTTTCACTAGAGACTTGTACACGTGTACAAAGGTGATACACTTGATGGTTGACACATTTGAGCAAGGATGGAGATGTTGGTGAAGTCGAGGGGTTGTTTTCCCTCGATCGGACGCTGGACCGGACTCTGCACCGGTGCGTCCGGTCAGTGGTGGTGAAGTGGCTTGGTCTCGGTCTATTGACCGGACGCTGGAGGAAGAAGTTAATCGGATGCGCAGTGCCCGGGTCCGATCGCAGCTAACGTACGCTGACGTGGGCGACTAAGCGAGCGTGGTGAAGACCTGACGTAGGGGTGCGTCCGATAGCAGGTAAGCGGACACGTCCGGTCGTAGTTTTGGCGCTGTGGAACCTATATGGTGTTGACCTGACACGGCTCGGCTCGGCATCAGGAGAAAGGACCGATGCGTCCGATCGCTAACAGGTGGCGCGTGGGTTTACGTGGACCTGACGCAGAGGTGGTGCGTCCAGTCGTCCTTCATGGCATTCGATCTCAACTTAAGCAAAGGCGCAGGAGCTCTCAACCGTTGGGATAGAACAATCATCGTTTGAAGCGAATCTACGGACCAGACGCTGTGCGTCGCGTCTCCGGTCAGACCGACCGGTGCATCCGGTCATCGCGCAGTGAGCTGCTTGTTGAGCCTAACTGCTCTATTTCGTGGGGCTCCTATTTAAGCCTCATGGCTAGCTCAAGCTCACTCTCTTGGTCATTTGCATTGACATAACAACCTTGTGAGCTTAGCCAAAGTCCTCCCACTCATCTCTATTATTGATTCATCATCTTTGTAAGATTAGGAGTGAATCTAAGTGCATCGCTTGAGTGATTGTATCTAGAGGCACTAGTGATTGTGTTTCGCTGCGGGTTTCGCTTGTTTCTCTTGGTGGTTGCAGCCACCTAGATGGCTTAGTGCAGCGAGGATCATCGAGCGGAGAAAGGTGATTGTCTCCGGCTCCGATCGTGGTGATTGTGAGGGGTTTTTGACATTTCTCTGGTGGAAAGTTAAAATGTACTCTAGTGGATTGCTCGTAGCTTGTGGATCTCCATCTTGTGTTAGTTGTGCGGCACCCGATTGCGAGTTAGGTGTGTGATGTCTATTAGTGCGTGAACCTTCAAATGGCTAAATCGCTACAACGAGGACGTAGCTTGCCAGCAAGCAAGTGAACATCGGGGATAAGTTATTGTGTCGTCTTGTTTCGAGGATTTCATGGGTTCTCTTGTAATTGATTGATTGATCACCGCTTGCCACGTCGATATAACCTCACTATCTCACCCTTGCATTTACTTTTCTAGTGTTACTAAGCTCTTTAGTATAATTAGTTTTGAGAATTAGCTTATGTCGGGTATAGTGTTTAGTGAGGCTCTTTAGGTAGTCTTTGAGAGCTCACTAACTTAGTGATAGTGATCTAGTATTGTGTGCTTAGAGACTATAGAAACTAGAATTATAGTAGATGGTTTATATTATTAGTGGGCTGACGCAAGTATTATTTGCCACTTTGCTTAGTATTATTGTAAAAAAAATTTAAAGGCTATTCACCCCTCCAACCGCTATATCTGAGCGTTCGCTGATAATTCCAGTGAAGGACCGCTCATTCGGAATTGGGCCTCCCCGACTCCCCGTCCTCGCGCTCGCACCGCCCAACCTCGCCTCTTGCGCCGCCAGACTTCTCCCTGCTTGTACCCATCTAGCCTAGCAGCCTGCCTCCCACTCCTCACAGCCAACCACGATTGCTGCTTTCCTCCTTGCTGTCGCGATCGAGGACGCGGGCGCAATCCTACAGCAATCAGCGTCGCCTACGCTGTGGTGAGCGGCCCTGGCGGCGATGTGCAGAGCCAGCGTGCAGTCGAGCGTGGTGGTGACTCCAGCGAGAAGGTGCTCGAGCTCACTGCCATGGCCGCTGAGAAGAGTGCCTCCATCTCCAGGCACCAGCGACTCAGAGCAGCGGCCACACACCCTCCCCGTAGGACACCGGTTCCGATGGGACACCACACCGGTGCTGAGACAGCGCGACGTCAATAGCTAGCCTTTGTGCGGACGGGAGGCCAGCTCAGGAAGCTGGATAGTACCTTCACAGTCTCTCTCTCTCCCTCCTCTGCCTGTCTTTGCCTCGCCCGCCTCCTAGCTGTTCGATGAAATGCCCCTTTCTGCTTTATGTCGATGGAATGGAAGTAATACTTACTGCAGATTTTTTTAACCGGTACTTAGTGCAAAGTCTTGCGCAGCAAGTGAAACTACTTCATCATTGGTTTACGGTTGGAGCCTAACAGAAGCCGTGAAAGTTTTTTTTTTTTTGGTCAGAAAATCAAATCTAATTAAGGAACCTTATTCTACGTTAAATTGATAATTCGTAATTGTAGTTACTATGATGTTTTAACTTATCCATAATCTTAATTGTTGTGGAAGAGATATTTCATTTAACTGCTCCTACATTCGATCCATTGTTACAAATTCTACAAGAAGGGAACAGGTTGGTGATTAAACAACTTTTTCTAGAACTTCTCACAATATGTGGTAATATCTTGATCCTTTGTTATAATTAAAACTCCATTGCTATTGTCCATTGATTGATTCCTTGTTTTTAAGATGGTAATGGAAATTTCTCTGATACTTTACTTTCCTGATCTTGTATAGGAGGAAACGGACTGAATATTTGAACTATTATTATGCGGTGCGTTAGCTCTCTAAAATGGAGAATAAGTATTTGAGATTTGTCAAGCAAACTATATTATAGCAAGATCAGTTTTTAAATGGTACAATAGCCTCGCTGACATCAACCTCAATGCCGTTCCTGAATCAAAGCATTTCAAAAAGAGGCAAAAAAATCTCAATGTCATTCCTATTAAGTATCCTGAGCTGCATGCCTACCATGTTGTCTCTGTTCCGCAGTTCTAATCTAAAGATCAACCCATTGGTTTTTCATATTTTAGATCTTATTTCTACTATAAGACTGTAACAGTTCACTGCAGGTAAAACTACAAGAGTTCTCTGGTAAAGCAAAATTTAACTTTTATTTGTGAGCAGTGCATTGATTTGTGGCAGAATAGTCTGTACTTAGATCATAATGAGGTATATTATCATATCTCGTAGCACAATCTAAATAAACAAAATGGTGGTGTATAAGGATTCTTAAGATCTGGAGTTGTGACTCACTGCGCCGATGTGATACCCTTGGTGCATTTTGCTTTTTATACATTGAACATTGTGGTTTCGAGATACTCCAGTTACTTGAACTCTTTTCCATCAATGCAGATCATAATGAGGTATATTATCATATCTCGTAGCACCAATCTAAATAAACAAAATGTTGGTGTATAATCCATATAAACTTTAATCTGCTATAAGTTGCTTATTGGCAAAGAATGCTTGAAGTATTTGTGCTTGCATTGATTGAGCTAATATATGTCTCTTCAATTAATACATTCCTGTTTACAAACCATCATATTTTTGGGTACTGGTGCTTTACTAATCATCATTTCTCTGGGTACTGGTGCTTTCAATGCACAAACGATTATCCTCTTTTCAATCATAGTAAGAATATGTACATGAATATTGTTAATACTATATTCACAGGTTCTCCAGTGGGCTTGCCCAAGCTTGGCGCAAGCAACGCCGCGCCCTATGTTTTCTAGTTGGTAGAGAAATTCTTGTGTACAGACAAGTTCTTATATCAGATGCAGTACACTGCAATCCAGCGTATCGTACAGGCCATACAGAGATAACAATAATTGAGCAACCAATTGAAGTGGGCGGTGTTCACAACTTGATGTTACCTGCTCCAAGACATTGCGTCTTTGATAGAACTAAACAACACATGTCAACTGTAAGACACTGCAAGAAACTGACAGGAAATCCAATATTCATGTGTACTGAGTTTTCAGTAAGTATATAAAATAATTGTCAGACTTTTCAGTAAGCAATTTTCTACTACTCTTTTACCATCTGAATTGATGAAAGCAATTGATTAAAATACTCCTGGCAAGCACTTCCTTTCTTTACCGAAACAGCAAACAAGCAGCATACATCAACTGAACTTCCATCCATTCTTCCTTCTCTACTCTTTCTTCGTGAGCACAGTAACTCGTCAGTAAGCCAGCACCTCTCTGTACTTGGACAAACTCTGTCTTTCACTCTACTACTTCATCACGAACAGAACAACATTGGGCCAGAAGTAGGAGGTCACGTGCCAGCTTTTCTCTCGGCTCTCGATGCGCTCTGTTTTCCACCAAATCATGGCCTGTTCGGCTGATATTAAAGCCGGTTGAAACTGTTTTATTGTGAGAGCTGATAAGTTCAAGCGAACAGGCCAATATGAAGCATCAAGGCGCCTCCACTCCTCTCTAGACGCTTCGCAGACAGACAGAGATGGACATTATAACAGTCAAAGAGTATTGGAAAGCAAAGGGAGGAATGAGGAAAGCCATCGAGTAGGACTGCAGCCTGCAGGAGAGAGGAACCCAAGGGCTGCCAAGGCAGATACGATTGTTGTGAAAACGGATTCAGAATTTGAGATGGGAGAACGAAGAAACCGCCAACCAACCACAAAGGTAAAAGGTCTACGTTGGTAGCTTCATCGTGTATTAATTCGTGTACATGTCATGAGAAAATTCACTATACTGTATCTCTCTGACACAGCATGCATATCCTTTCAAAATTTCGATAGTAGTAGTAATTCTTTTCCTTGCATGCTGTGAAAGTTTCAAACTGATCCGATCATCCGCTGGAAGCACCAGATGTTTTTCTTTCCGCACATGCATGCAGCATGCGTCGTCATACGTTCACCTCGTGATGTAGCCAATGAAGTCGTCGAGATCCTTACGGGAGTTCCGCCGTCGGACACGGAGGCGCGAACCGCCTCCCCGAGCTCCTTGGCCCGCTGCCGGACCGCCATCCCGCTGTCACTGTCAGATAGCATTGCCTCCTCGATCACCTTCTGGATGGCCTGCGCCGGTATGATGTCAGCGTGCTTCTCCCAGGGCCTCACCAGGAGCCCCGCCTTGAGGTACTTGCACAGCAGCCCGAGTCCCAGGGCTGATCGGAGTGCATGGGCCAGGCGAGCACCGGCTTCCCGTGGCTCAGGCTCTCCATGGTCGAGTTCCAGCCGCAGTGGCTCATGAACGCGGCCGTGGCGCCGTGCGCCAGGATCTCCAGCTGTGGCGCCCACCCGGTGATCACCAGCCCCGTCCCCTCGGTCTCCTTGGTGAACTCGGACAGGAACTTGGCGTGCCGGCTCTCGCCGGACTCGTCGGCGTATATGTCGGCGCGGTCGGCGTCGCGCAGCACCCAGATGAAACGCTGCTTGCTGCCCTTCAGGGCCGCGGCGAGCTCGGCGACCTGCTCGGCGTGGAGGCACGAAGTCGTGCCGAACGAGACGTAGAGCACCGACGCCGGCGGCTGCCTGTCGAGCCACTCCAGGCACTCGTGCCGCGCCTGTCCCGGCGTCGTCCGGGCGTCCCGCGTCGAGCAGCAGCGGGTTCAACGGCCCGACCGCGAAGAATCTCTGGCCCTGGAACGGCGGCTGCGCGGCGACCACACGTCGATGAACTCGCCCTCCAGCGCGCGGCACGTGTTCATGACCAAGCCGGCGACGGGCGCGCCCTGCGCGGCCTCCTCCATCTGGAAGACGAAATCCACGAACTCCTTGGACATGCAGGCGTCGGGGGCGGGAACCTGAGGCCGTAGTCACTGATGAGCTGGTGCCCGGGGTCCAGCCACCCGAGGTCGTACGAGATGGCGACGCACTGCAGCCCGAACGCCTCGCCGTTGCCCAGCCGCGCCGCCTCCGTGGCGGCGAAGGGGTTGAGGCGGTCGAACACGACGGCCACGCGGCGGTGGGTGGCGGAGAGGCGCTGGAGGAGCGCCGCGAGCGGGGGGCGCGCGCCGCGGCGGCGAACGTCTCGAACATGGGCATGAGGTGGTTCGGGAACGGCGACGGCGCGGCGAGGTCCGGGGCGGAGAGTCGTACGCCGACACGTCGAGGTCGTGGAACTCGATGGAGCCGAGCGCCCTGGGGTCCCAGCCGTGCACGCGCGCACGCGCCTGCCGGACGTGCGGCGGCGGCGCCGCGTAGTGCACGGAGAGCCCCCGCGACGCCAGCAGCAGCGACAGGTGGAGCAGCTGGTTCAGATGGCCCTGCGCCGGGAACGGCACGGCCACCACGGCTACCGATTCCATCGTGTCAACCGCCATACTTCAGCTTCTAGTTCAGGTCGTGTCGTGTGTGACAACGCGAGTGTACGTACTCCTAGTTACTTACAGCTGCGTACAGCTTTCTGCAGACTGCAGGGCTATATATACAGGCCCCGTTCGATTCGTTGAAAAAAAAAAGCCAAAACATTGTCGTGAGAGAAAAATATTGTTTTGATTAAAAAAACAAGCTAAAAAATACGGATTATAAGATAAACGAGATGCTACTTCACCGGAACAAGGGTGAGAGTAAAACATGACGATGACATGAAAAGTAGGAGTAGATGCGCTTTCAGTGGCCATCGAATTCATCGCACTGGATAGCAGGGTATATTTCTCGAAAAATGATCGAATCTCGGCGCACCCGCGCATGGTTTAATTTAAGTGGTCTGGCCAATCAAAACCTGACGAAACAAACCAAGGAGTGGCATGCATGGCGACACAAGACTTGATTGGCTCATCATTGGCCAGCTTCGCTGGGATCGTGTACTGGCGTAGTACGTCCAGCCTGTTCGCTTACTCGTAAACGATCGTAAATTTCCAGCCAGGAACAGTGTTTTTTTCTCATACCAAATCAGCCAGCAGTAAATAATCCACGATACGATACAGCCTCCCGAACAGGCTGCTTGTCCTTGTTCGTGGAAAGCTCGTAGCCTGGGGTGGGGCGTGTCGCATTCGTCATCGATGACGGGGCGACGGCCGGCCGGAGCCGCCGGTGATCCTCTGCGAACGCCTCAAACGAAACAGGCTACAATGGTGGGTACGTAAACGAAACAGGCTACAAAGATGGGTACGCAACCACTGACGTCGTACATTCCTTGATGTTTGTGATCTGTCGCAGTAAGATCTTATTAACCGAGGAATCTTAGGTTATTGATTCCTACTACTCCGTGGTACTTACTCAGTACTTGTTTGTAATCTCAGAAGCCGATACCGATTACTCCGTGGGTTATTGATGACCACACGGACACAAACAAACAAATCCAATCTTATCTTTTCTTGTCATCATCATCATGTTTTACTATCACCCTTGTTCCGGTGCCCCCGTCAGCATTCGGACGCCGGTTTGGCCACGGCACTGGAGGTCCGTCCGGAAGGTGGCGGTGGTACCATACCACTACCGTCTGCCAGTCACCACAAAATTCTCACGGCGCGTGGCGCGTGCCTCGAATTATTATTTACCCCGCAGGCCGCAGCTAGCGCCTAGCGGCGATTCCCTCGGCCGTCCCTCGTGATGCTCTGCTTCGTGAGCTTGGTTGGATCGAAAGTCGAGGCCGAACCGAATGGCCGATACAAGACGAGGAACAAGAGACCTGGTCTCAGGAATTCGGATCTTTTCTCTGTGCGCTGCGGTCCGGGCGGCAAGCTGATGCTGCTCGGATGATGCGACGGGGGCGATCGTGGAGAGCTCCGTCCGGCCACGGCGGTTGCGACGCGAGTTGGCGTCTTGCGACGGAGACAGCGTGAAGGTCCAAGCTCTGGGTCGTCCTTTGTAGGCAGACACATCACATGCTGTCCTCCGCCCGGCGCCCGCCGGTGCGGTGCCCCGTCAGCGTCGGCCTCAGCTGCCCTGCCGAGCGCGCGGGCCGGGAGCCGCCGTGTTGCGTTTGGACGAACGCGCCAAAGGCAGTTGCCACTTGCCAGCACGATTCAGCTTCTGCGGGCCGCCTTTTTGGCACAGGGCGCGCACGTTCTTTCTTGCTTGTCCAGCAGCATCGCACAGCGAGCTTCACACGTCGGCTCGCCAGTCGCCACGCATGGCGCAGCGCCAGCCACCAGGTCACAAGTTAGATGCCCAAGTGCCCCACCAGCACCACTGTTATCTGCCTTCTATTGCTGATTGCTGTCGCCTAGCAATAGCTTCTGTAGTTGTGTGGGATTCTATCACCAGTATCAAAAGAGTTTGGCACCACTGTTACCTGCCTCTATTGCTGTCGCCTAGCAACAATAGCTTCTGTTCTATCACCACTCACCAGTATCAAAGAGTTTGGCTTGACTGAACTTCTGCGCACCCTGGAGCACTACTGCGCTGAATTGAATGTACCACCTTATCGATTTCATGCGCAGGTGGCTTCCTACAATTGGTGACGGCCATGGTAGTAGGGAGTAGCTGTATAGCTCTGCTTTTCAAACTGAATCTGCATTTGATTGGGTGGCCAAACTGAAACTGAATTGAATGGTCGATACTTTCCATTGGTTGAATAACCTCAGTTTGGCTATCTAGAATTCAGTAGTTCATTTTCTCCATCTTCAGCGAATCCCGTTGGATAACAACTGAACTTGCAACAGGCAATGCAGAGCACTTGCCACTGAAATTGGATGAGCTTCCATGGCCAACACACATGGATCCACGTCGTCGAGGAAGGTGATCATGCATGTGGTGGTGCATTGGGTCGCCTCACCCACGCGGCCTTGCACGTTGGCTAAAGCCTGTAGGCGAACTTATGTGGTGGTACCATTGAGCTTATGGAGGCTAGTCGTCAGAGATTAAGAAAGAAGCTCAATTCCAAGGGGCTATAGTTGATGGACTGATGGACATTTAAAGGGTGAAAAATTCAGTGCTAATTAAGTGGGTTGGAAACAATCTGAGCAAACGGTAGACTGAATATTCACAAACTTGCCATGTACAAGACGTAAAAAAAACCTTCGAATCGAACATGTATATATATAAAGGAAAAGAATTAGAGAAATCCTCCATCTAGTCTAGTTCCTAGAAGGAAGACGAAGGCACGAAAACTCTCTGCTCCCGAAAGTATGACAAACTCAGTGAAAAGAAAAAAAAATCTAACACTTCTTCTCCCACATCGGCGTGTCGACACGAGTGCCATATCCTAGGTCTGTCTTCAATTCTTCATTCATAGCGGCCAACAATCTGCTGTCAAAATCTGCAAAATAATGTTGTCTGCGATAGTTGCAGTTGCAGCATCCCCCTTGCAGCTTCCTTCGTTTGCACCTGGTGCTGGTGGCAGCGATTGCTTAGAGGGCACGTTCTCAGCCGCCGGCGCCTTTTCCACCGCCGCTGGCGCTGGTGCCGCTGAGCTAGATTGCTGCCGCTGGGGTCGCTGAGCTAAATTGCTGCTGCTGCTGCTGTAAGGATACCCACCGTGAGGCGCCGAAAACTGAGCGGGAGAGACTATGGCTTCGACTCCCACAGGGCGATCGCCACCCTCGTCGTGGAAGCATGCTGGCTGCGCGGACGGCGCCGTCTGCTCGATCCGTTGCTGCCCTGCGCGAGCGGCGCTGCTCTCCTGTGCTTTCTGTAATTTCATTTCAGCTATCAGTCTCGCATACACTCGATTCCGGCACGCTTCGTCCGTCTCCGGCGGCGGCGGCGGCTGCTGCTGCCGTGGAGAGGGCGGCCAAGCTGATTGGCCGTCAGCTAGGTTCGGCGGACCCATCATCGTCTTGGGACAAAGAGAGTTGGGGGCGGTCGCAGCGGCACAGCGCGGCGGGCGTAGCCTCGACACCGGCGGCCCCTGCCCTGGCGCCGCCTGGCCGTTCGCGTTCGGCATCCCCGCCGCTTGGTTGCCGTACCCATACACCAACGGTGGCTGCTGCACTTGCACCGGTCCCTGCATGCTGTTATTATACACCAGCGGCCAATGCACTAGCGCGGGGAGCTCTGGCCCGTGGTGCCCTGCTGCTCCGGTTCCGACTCCGACCGGCGGCATGCGCACGCTACTACCGCCGCCACTGCCACGCGTCGGCGCTGAACGTCCGCCCGGGAACAAGGTCGTCTGGGAAACGGAAACCCCCTTGTTCGGCGTGCCGGTGTGCCCGCTCGTCGCCGGCCGCTCCACCGCGGGCCTCTTGGCCGGCGGCTGCCTGCTCGACGGTGCCCGCGCCGCTGCCTCTCCAACGCGCTCCGGCGCCGGCCCGGATGACTGCGACGAAGCTGGCACCTCCGCCGCCGCCTCCTCGATCTCCTTCCACTTTCTCAACGGGCTCTTGTAAATCCTGCACACGACGTATCTGTTCAACTGCATGCAAAGTACAGTCCGAGTTAGAGTGTCAGACAGCAACAATATACTATATACACGTAACCAATGAATATGGATTTGTGGGGGAGAAGAGAACGAAGACATTCCAAAACAGCAGAAAGAGACAATTGAATTTGAACGTCTCGGCGAGAACTGACCAGCATGTCGTCGCTGGGCCGGGCGGCGGCGCTCTTGCTGTGGAAGCCGCTGTCGGGCGTCTCGGGGACGACGAGCTCGTGCATCAGCCACTTGGTCTTGGTCTCGTCCTTGGTGGGGCCCACGTAGTAGGCGAGTGTGTTCTCGCTGAACGCGGCCTTCTTCGCCTTCGAGTGGTTCGTCGAGGCGCCCTCCTCCTCCTCCGGTGGTTTCGACTGGCCCGTCGACGGCTTCCACCGGCCACGATCGTCGGCCGTGCGCCGCACCGGCCTATCCCCTCCCCGATACTTGCGGTACCTCGGCGACAGGAAGTACCATGTGTCGTCCACGCCGCTATCCTTGTATTTTTCTGTGTACATTATGTATAGGCGCCGTGTGATCAGGTAGCAAATCATCATATCATGTACTATATATACGCAAAGTGTAAAAGACTTTTTTTTCTTTGTTTCAAGTGAAAAGAATACGCAGATAATAGAGTTGTAAAAGAAGCCCAGGCAACCAGGTTAATTAGTCGAGTACCAAAAAAAGGAAACAGAGATTTAACAATTCATCAGGGTCAGGTCATGCTGTATTGCTGTACCAGTCAATATCTCCGGGTCACACCCGTACGCGTCCGCCTCGATGACGAATTCGTTTGGCACGGTCGGTTCGTCCAGCAGTTTGGGGAGGAGGTAGAACTCCACGAGCTCCTCGGTCGTCGGCTTGAAGCGGAACCCAATCGGGTACTTGCCGTTCTCGTCGTCACCCCCTCCGCTCGGTCTCTCCTCCGCTTCAGCCATGTCGGCGACTCGTGAAGTCGTGACGCGTGGGGTTTCAGGTTGACGCTGTTGTTACCTGGTACTAGCGGAGATTCGTCGGAGTCCTTATTAGGACTCGAAACCATGATCCTTGTTCTGCAGCTTCCCATAATCGGCCAACCTTATTGGAGACGTTCAACAACTCTAACATGAACCGGATTCAAGCTGCCTGCTTCGTGATCAATGTCCCGTGTAGGAAAATACGGAGTATAGCCAATGTCGCGGAGTATCCGTATCCGAGTCCCATTTCCACAAGGGAAATAGCTCGAAACATCCGATTGGCTCTCGACCAGACGGAGAAACACCAGAGGCACATCTGCTGTGCAGTGATCGCCTCACAAAAGGTCAAAATTATATCCGAAAATTCGAACACATATTTATTACAACACTACTACACCCAAACAAAGTAAACAAGGGGGCCACTTGGATTAGGCATCCTTATACAGGCTTAACTGAAAGAATCAGTATTATAATTAGAATTTAGAAGAAACAATCTGACGAGCCGCTGCAACGTTGGGAACATTTTGCTATCCAAACAATCTGACGAGAGCTTAAATATGGTCATGTCAGCTTCGAGAACTAAACCACTTACACGTGCCCAGCGTTGCTCACCTGCCGTTTTCCTTGATTTGCCTCCAGATAATCAACGAGCTAAGGTTGCTGTTGTCTGCAACGCTCAAGGGTAACAGGACTGCAAGAGAAGTGCCTGTCTGATCGACCATGGGGCTTGTCTTCAGGCAATCAGGCCTGTGCAGTTATAACATCCAAATATGACGGTGTATTGGACTATCGGCCTCGTGCCATCTTTCGCCTCTTCCTCTCCTGCTCGCGTCTCTCTTCTTCCTCAATCAAGCGAAGTTGCTCTTCATCCTCCTGCCTAGCAATCCTCGCGCTGAAAGGAAGCCAATATCAAGTGTGAATCAGATACGAAATAGAGGGCATCCAGACAGGAAAACCCAGAATGCTAAGTATCCACATGCATCCGATGTGCACTGCCAGTTTCTGAACCATGAATAAACATAGCACAGGAACTTGACCCTAGCAAGCAATTGGATGGTACGGTAGGGCGTACCCAATGCAGAGAGCTCCCGCTCTGTGCGGGGTCTGAGGAAGGGTGTCAGTGGCAAGCCTTACCCTCGCCTGTGCAATGCGAGGAGACCGCGACTCGAACCCGGACCTTCCGGTCACAGGCGGTAAGACTACCGCTTGCACCAGGCCCGCCCTTCTTTTCTCTTCCAATATCTCATCAAATATCTCATCATTATGATACTAAAGTTATCTTGATCATCTGTGCAGGCAGTACAATATCTTGAATATAAAGCATACAAGTATATTATATATATAAGCTTTTATTTCAATCTGTACAATATTATAATGGATAAAATAAGAGAAGCAATACCTTCTTTTCTCTTCCATTTCTATAGTAGCAAAATCGGCTTCCATGTCACTGACATCCTCATCTCTGCCTGCATATCTACTAGGATCATACCTGCAAAGGAAGCCAAAATTAGAATCCAAATATTTATAAGCAACATCTTCGAACAGCCGCTGCAATCAAGCAATGCTTGGTTTGCTCAGCTTGAAAACCATGTTAGCAAAACATGCTAACTTATATAGAGGCTGACGGCTGATGCTCACAACCACTGACCCAAACAGAAAAGATAGAGCAGGCTTATCTAGACAATACCCGAACATATTTCTGATCATTGCAAAGGGATCTTCCTCATCTTCATCTTCATCAAATCTTCTTTTTGCCACTTGCTTTCTCTTTGCATGATCATCACGAATTCCATTGGAAGAGACTGGCCGAGATGGCTACAAGCACAAATAAAGAGACAATAATGGAACAAATGAAACATCAGCAACCCTAGGCCGTAGCCAAACGAATGCAACCCATATACAGGAAACATGTGTGGCAAATAACTTCAGGCAAAATGGTAGACAACAGAAAGGTGGTATTTTCAGTATTTACCATGGACTTCGAGGGAGGCCGAATCAGCCTTTCAGCTTGTTTGACTCTATCATTTGCCTGTACTCTTCTTTTGCTCCGAATATTGACCTTCTTGAAGAAAGAGGCCTTTGTCCTTGTAGGGACTGTGGTCTGTGTGTTTGTGAGGATTGCGATTTCTGAATATGTGAGGACTGCTGTGGCCTTTGATTCTGCAAGGACTGTTGAGTCCTTTGACTCTGCAAAGACTGTTGTGGTTTCTGACCCTGTGTCATTTGCTGTGGCCTCCGACTCTGCAATGACTGCTGCGGCCTATGCTCCGTGGATTGATGTGGCCTCTGACCGTGGGAAGAATGCTGTGGTCTCTGACCAGCTGACTGCATCCTCTGACTTTGAGAGGATTTTGGTCTGTCAATCTCTGAGAGATGGTGCTTCGAGGCTACACTGCTCTTCCGCAGAGTTGCATCATTCAAATCCTTGGAAGGTTGCTTATTAGCAATAGGACCTCTGCTTGGAAGCTTTTGGATTGTGGTTTTGCTAGTGCTTGCCTGGTTGGATCCATTTCTTGCAATACTATGCGCCCTCTCATTTTCACGTGAAACAACCCTTTCTCTATTCAAGAAAGCCTCCTTTCTCATGGAATCTACCCTACCTTCAGCATGCCTTTGAGTTGATATTGTGTTCTTTGGTCCATATCCATTTGATAAACGTGCAGGTTGACTTGTTGGTGCCTTGCTCTTTACTGTTGATTGCATCACCTCGCGATCTTCATTGCCCAGAAAAAAACAGTCAGCAATTCACATTTGAAAGACACAGGGAAGACCTTGTCTAATAAAATTAGAGTTCCAACTCACCAGCCCTTTGAGTCAAGGAAGATCTAGCAGCAGGTTTCTCCTTTGGAGAGGGTGAAAGGTCAGCATCATCCGAGAGTAGAAATGAATAATCCGGTTATCCTTAAGTGCCTCAACCTTCCTCTTTACCTGCAAATTGCAACTGCTATGTTGTGAATACATTATTTTAGGTCCATTTAAACCGAACATGCAAAAGAATGCGGTGAATATAAATTATTTATACCTGATTAACAATCTTCTGTTTATGCTGATGTCCATTCCCTTTACTTTGCACTTTAGAGGATGATGGAATATCCTTCTGGCAAAAGCAAAACAGAATATATAATTATTTAATGTTTGGTTCAGTGCTAATCAAAATTAGCATACTGGCATAGTATTACATGTACTCCAGAAGGCCTTGGCTCCCTTGCAATTGTGCTATGCAGTTCTTTCAATGATTTTCTTTCTTCAATCACTCGACGAGAAATCACCGGCTTGGATGGCCCAAAGAAAGAGCCAAATCTAGCAGGGAAAAGAAGTCAAACACATTTAAGAACACTCTATAACAACAGTAAGGTATGAAATGCAGAAGAAATATCAACTGCAGAATGTGTAGAAGTGCTGCTAGACTATTTTGTCGGAAAACAAAAAAGAAAAGAGAAGTTCCTTATTCATCAAATACTGATTGGTCTTTACGTTAAAGAAAATTGGTTTACCAACATCACAACCACACTGAAAAACAAACTAATATATTGGTGAAAAATAAATCTTCCGGCAGCAAGTATTTCACAAGTGTATAATGATCAATAGGCTATGAAATTTAGTTCCACAATAGGAGACATTTCGAAAGGGAACAAGTAATCTCCCATAAAGTCTTATTATTTCTCAATGGCATGAGCTCGAAGAGAGATCATTTTAGAAACAAAGAGAATGCTGCTGAGAATCAGTACATCAAACATACTTGTCCCTGGCTTGAGGTATTTGTGAAGAAGACGAGCGGCCAGCCGTGCAGGCAGCAGCAGCCTTTGCCTTTCGCCTAATCTGCTCTTTTAATCGTTCTCTCAATTCAAGGATCTCCTTTTGTCCCTCTGTAGGTTCTTCCTCCTCAACATACTCATCCCCAGCACCCAAACCCTCCTCCTCATACTCATCTTGATCATAGTACTCGTCTCCGTACTCATCTTCCACTTCCCGGTGGTAACCCTGCACAATAATTGTCATCGTTACGAGACCAAAAACATTGCACTGCTTTTTTTTACGATTGTCAATACTACAGTTCCCGCTTTGTTTTATTACAATTATTTTTCTACATTTGAGCAAATAAAAAAAATAATGTTACCCTAATCTTCTGTCTATCTCACTTTTTCCCCCATTTAAACCTTGATTTGTGGCGTTTAAAAGCTTTAATGATCGTACTCGGTGGAAATTAAACTGAATGAAGTGCACAAAGTAGAGCTTACATTGGTCTCGTACTCGTAGGCCCGCATTATCACCAGGATCCCGTCGTATCAGTCTCAAATTCCCCGAATCCCCTGAATCAGAGCAAGGAAACTTCCATAAGTTTACATAGGTCGCCATGAATTGTTCAGAAAATGCCCACGTTGAACCAGCCAAGCATCCAATTGGGACCACATACACATCGAACCAGCATCGATTGACCCTAAAATTCCTTGGCGAAGGTGCTCAAATCATAGAATAGGCACCTAATCGCCCAAATTCCGCCCCAGATGCGACGCAGGGAATGGCGAATCTAGGGTTTGGACGGAGAATACGGCGCGAATCTGGGACGCCGCCACGGCAAAGCAACCATAGAAACCAGGCGGAATCGCACCACCGGTTTGGGGGACTCACCTCGGGGACCGGAGACGCCTCGTTCCGCCGCGGTGGCGGGGATCGGACTCGGACGACGAGCTGTCGCGCGACGCGGCTGGATCAGAAGTCGCCGAGGGGGGCCGGGCCGGGCCGGGCCTGCTGCGGTCGAGGCGGCGGCGGCTACGCCCGCGGCCGGGTAGGCACGGGGCGGAGGCGATCAAAGCCCGCGGCTTGGTCGCCTGTCGCTGCGGAAAACGGCAGAGGGTCGCCGCCGGGGCGGGGCGGGGCGTCGTGGGGCGCGAGGCTTTTGGCTCTCGTTGGGTGGGGGAAATGGGAAGCACAGGGGGCCGGGGAGGAGGCAGGGGTTGAGGCGGGCGCACGGTTAAATAGGCGCGTTTCGCCTGCGCCGGGTAAGAAGCCTGACGTCGTCGCCTTGCGTCAGAGATGTGAGATGTCTCTGGAACCTCCGCATGGAGCTTGGCGCATGGGCTAGGCCACGTTTAGTTTCATTCAAAATCCAAACTTTAACGCTGTAAAAAAAAATTCTCCGTCACATCAAATTTATGGTATATACATAGAGTACTAAATATTGATGAAATCAAAAACTAATTGTACAGTTTAGTTGTACTATGCGATACGAACGTTTTGAGCCTAATTAGTCAATGATTGGACAATGGTTAACAAATAAAAATACATTACATCCGGCGGCCCCGCCAACTCCGCCGTAATAAACATGGCCCTAGGCTTTTTTTCTTGTTTTGGCAGGTGCTGCGAGGGCCCAATCGCGAGCTGGGACCCTGCAGGCCCGTTTCCTTGCCCAAAAGCGTCGCTTTCGTCAACAGCGGAGCACGCTCCGAGAAGAATGGAAGACAGGATGACCGAAGCGGGGGCCTTGGTGCCCTACCCCCTTGTTCTGACGAGAAAAGGGAAGTGATGTACTGATGTACATCATCATCAGTACATGTACACTAGGAGAGTGCCTTTCAATCACTTTCGAGTTGTATGCCGCAACACAGGCGTTCAGGCCGTGCAGATTCCGAACAGATGCTCCTGTTTATCATGAGGTTTTCAGTACCTTTGCTATCCAAATGTAAAACGTTATCAAAGTTAGAAAATCTAGATCTCATCAGAGAACAACAAAGACAAGCAAGGTAGAAGGCCAAACTAATGCCAGTAGCCTTGCTGCGCTTGAACAGTAGCTGCACAAACAAGCAACTAAAATACAAGCTTTCACAGGCATTCTCTCTGGACTGTCCACAGGTAAAGCAAGGCAGGCAAGATACAGAAATTAAGGGAACAAAGTCACATAGAGCAGGGAGTCAGGAACTCCACCAATCGTTTAACTGTGCATCAACGCTAATGCGTTGTCATGTGCTGAAGTTCTTCCTCGTATCCACTTCTGAACAGAAAAACATAACATGGACGCTTGGCTCATCCAGTTTACAGTACCAAAATTCTCTGTATATCTACTGCTGATTACCCCTACTGTGCAACAAAATCCATTCCAAAAGACTGAGTATCCCAATATACCTCAGTGCCTTACCAAGTTACCATGCTCTGGTGTCAAAGGGGTTATCTTCCCGGCGTATCATGTACTATTTGGTTCTACTTATATCACTAGGGATTAGGGAATACAATGTTATCTTCTAAAGATCGATCCATGTAGCTGTTAGATCACTGGGACAGCAGGATGGAACTTCATTTTGCAGATTGACGAGCCAACCACTCTGCTTTGGTCAAACCATAGTAGACTGCTTTGCTTCCAGGCCACATAAGGAAATTCCAGCCAATAGGGGATCCACCGATGACATAAGAACCTTGAGGGAGTGCGCCCTGTTGCTTTGTATAACCTGTTATCTTACTTGGTCTGGCCCGGTTTTTAGTCTTCACCAGTAACCCATGTGCTGCGGTGTCTGAGTTATCAGGCTTGAGTGGTACACCTCCACCTGTACTGTGCACAAAATTTCCAGCCAGGCTTGTCGTAGGACCTAGACTCTTCTCTTCAGACAGAACTTTCTCAGCACGCTTATCCTCAGGAGCTCTAGCTGCATGTTTGTCAAACGGTTTCACAGGTTCAGCAGCAGCGGACAGATCCAGCCGTGTTTTCTTGGATAATTCTAACACATCCTTCATCTCTGTAAGACAAAACAAGAGTAGAGGACAGACAAGTTAGATTCAATTATCCAAATAATTTTTTATGCATACATATGCATGATAATATAAAGAAGCCATTATATATAAAAAATTTGTAAAATCGTTCAAATGTAAGGTCCATGTGCTCGTGCTCAGGTAGTATTTACAGACCACAAAACAAGGGGTAATCTAAATGCAAAAAGAAAGAAAAAAAAAGAAAGAATAGATGCATGTTGAAAGAAAGCTGCTGATCATGGTATATTTCATAATAACTGATAATTTGATGCACAGTTCTATTATTTCTTTTGCATTTCGAATAGATTACAGAACATAGTGGCTTGTTTTCAATAAAAGCTGCTTCTGAGTAGAGAACATAATCAAAGAAGTATTTTACATGTGTACAGCTACAGCAAACGCAGAACCATAACTTAAGAGAGGCAGGACTCAGGTGGAATGCTTTTGAATGCAATAATATTTTTACATGATATATAACAATTAACAAATCAAGAAATGTAATATACTAATTGTCATAGATGGGTTAACCATGCTGAGGATTCAATATTTGAATGATAACATTTGAGAAGAAATGTCACAGTACCTCTGTCATACTTATGTTACAATGTATTGAAGAAATATGGTTTTCTATAAAATGGTACTACAGAAACTGGATAAGTTCAAAACCCGATGCCATAACACTATTTCTAGTGCAGATTATGATTACTGAAATACATTAGAAAATTACACATTGCTCCAACATAATGGACTAGTCACTTACCATTCAAGATCTCAACAGCAGCATCTTTCTTTTCTGAATCAGTTCCTTGGCAAACCTTCATGACAACAAATGCAAACAAATTAATAACTGATTACAGTTTTAACCATAACCAATATCATAAAAAAAAAAAAACAAGACGCCAGAGATACATTTCTCAAAAATAAATGTAGTGCAATACCACACATTGACATTGAAAGACACACAGACAGGGCTAGTCAACCTGACGGCTTAGACCTACACCACCTCCATCCCTTGAACTATTATTTCGATTTTGTTTCGTATGTACTTGTCCACATCATACCACTAATTTCCACTTGCAAGAAAACACCAGCCTAAACACTATTATGAACTATGAAACTCAGCAGTCAGCACACTGTTTTTCTGTTCAAGCGTCAATAGAAACTTCCAGGACTGCATTCAGAAGCACAGTACTACGGCCAGCTCTGTAGACAAATATGGCAGGCAAAAATATTCATGTATGTTGAATTAGGAACGTGTACTGCACACAAACGTGGTGGGCTAACCTGATCACTTAAGATCACATACATCCCAGGAACTTCAATTTCAATTCTGTATCAGTACGTACTTGTCCTCATCAGACCGTTAAATTTCAACCACAAAGAGAACCCGCCTAACGTCTAGTATGAACTATGAACCTCTGCAGTCTGCACAAACATTTCAGTTCAAGCGTCGATAAAATATTCCACAATTTCACTCAAAATCACAATACAACCTCCAGTGCTCTACCCCGAAACATCGCAAGCAAAAAACATTCCTAAATGCTGAATTAGGAATATAGTGATCGTGCTAGCTAGCTACTGCTGCTGCTATTGCTGAATGGAACTCGAGGATGTTAGGGTTTTCGGCGGGCACCTGAAGGAAGCGGCCGCGGAGATTTGCGACGGTTTCTCTGATCGTGTAGTACGGCGAGCGCTGAAACCCCTCCTCCTCCAGCTTCCGCTTCTTCGGCGGCACCTCAGACTCAACGCCGGAAGGAGGAGGAGGCGGCGGCGGCGGCGGCGGCGGCTGCTGCTGCTGCGGTCTGGTGGTGGTCGTCGACTCGGAGGGCGGAGGCGGATGGGTCGGTGCGGTAACCGGAGGTGGCATCGCGGCCGCGTAGAGGGAAAGAGAAATGGGGTTGAATTGGAGACGAGTTGACCAATAAAAAGTGGGTGTGGATGTAGGGTATCTTGGATACACATGACCAGTAGTTAATAATAGGACTAAAAATTAATCTAAATTAGTTATAATTGGTTAGCTAGTTAGCTAACAATTAGTTAATGACTTAACTAAATAATTAGTCCACCTTAGTCTTCCTATTTAGATATACTAAAATTAATTTTTATTTAGCTAGTAACTAGCCCTTATATCCAAACGAATCCTTAGGCTGGAAACTAAAATGTTTCTGTTGTATAAGGATAGTGGTTTGTCTATATATAAAGTTCTAGCTGTTTATTTTTTCTCATCCAGATTTTAGTAACTAAAAGGAGTGTTATTTCCTATATATATTCATTTACTCTAATAAATAAGTTGGTAAGAATTTGGACTAGAATGTTAACGTTTTGTATAGGGTGTTAGAGGAACAGTAGAAAGTAGAATAGTAAAAGTGAAGCTATAGCTTTATTCATGAACAATATACATATTTATTTATACGAGCGTTGTTGGACAGTTCCAAAGACTCGTGGGAGAGCCCTGCTCCCACGACCTTACACATACGAGAATTGCCATTAGCAGTTTCTAAGCATATCCTTAATCGATAATGGATTACTCCATCCGTTCTAAATTATAGGTCACTTTGACTTTTTTTTGTACGTCCACTTTACTATACATCTAGACATATATTATATTTAAATACATAGCAAAATATATGTACCAATAAAGTCAAAGCGACTTTTAATTTGGAACGGAAGGAGTACTATAGATATAATATTCTCAACATAAGGAAGTGGTTTGTCTGCAATCACAGAATTATTATTTTTTTAGAATAGAATTTTAATAACAAAATGGTGTTATTTCTTGTATATTCATTTAGTCGATATTTTAGATTGTCTAGATGTCGCCTTCAACCTCGATCTTCTTATAAATCTTTTTATCATAGGTAATACTGTAATAGACAACAATTTTTCCCATAATGCATCGCTTGGATACTCGGGAAGCTGCTCTGGGACGGTGGAGGTGGCCACGGCCCACGGGCATCAGCAGCGTTGGGCCATGTCATTCTGAGGGCTGTTCGTTCGAAAAAAAAAAGTTACTCCCCTCGCCGCCCAAGGTCTGACACATTTTTATGGGCTGGTGGACAGAGCGAAGGACACGCATGCCGCCCAAGGAAGTGGAGAGACAGCGCCGCGGCCCATAGGAGAGAGAGCGCTCTCCAATCCAACATCACCATCCTCTCGCCGCCGCGCGCCACTCTCTCTAACAGCTGGGTCCCAACTCCTCCTGTCCCACTTGGCATTGTCACCAAGCTGCCGCAGCGCGCCACCAATGGGGAGTGCCAGAGCGGCCGCCCGCGTCCCTTTGGCTATCCGAATGGGGCTCATCGCCACCATCCAATCCAGCGCGGGGGACAAGAGCCCGGTTTGTAGTGGCTAGTGGCGCTGGAGTCTCGTCCGCTCCCAGCTTCGGCCGACGCTCCCTTCAGCTGCTCCTTCTCCTTCATCAGGTCAGTATAATCCTCTATTGTTCCCGGATTCTTGGGAAGTAGCTACTGCTTGGGCTAAGATGGGCATTATGTTGTTCGTTTGTTGTTTGCTGTCTGTCGTTCCTGAAAAATATTCGGAAATGGCGGAGTTTCGCTGCAAGATTGCGCCTTGTTGCTTCGCATTTGCTGTCCAATAGTTGGGATGGAGCTAATTAGGCCGAGCCCTTAAGCTAAAGTTCGCCTTTTATTCTGACACCTGTTGTAAGTTCGCCTAAAATGCGGAAAGCATGTCTACAGGAAAGTTACTGTTAGGCTGTTCGTTTTATGGGTCCATATGATGGTCGATCTATAGAAATGCTTGCAAGAAGTGAGGCTCTGCATATGCTTTCTTCCTAAATTCTAAGTATACTGCGAGCAGGAGAACTAAGATCACGAATCAAATGCTTATGCCAATTTAGCTAACTTCAATGGAGAAAGGAAATCTTGCCCCTTTTGCAGATTTCTTTAGTTTTTTTTTTAATCAAAGGCTTTATCCCAGCTTTAAGCGTGCTGCTGAAACCCTGACCCAGCATTGGGGTTGCCAGTTTACAAAGAGTGCAACAAGAAAACACTCTAGTTAACCCCTGCTCACAGATTTCTTTAGTTCTCACTGAAGTAAACACTCTATAACTAAACAAGCTGTTGACATGGAGCGTTTATCTCTCGATATTGATGCTAGGCAATGAATCTATGTACTGTGCATTATGTTGTTATAAGTCATAACTTTTCGAAAGCACCATTGGTGCAGTTGTAATATGTGGAAGTATAGCTCCACCCACCAGGGCTCAAATCCTAGTGTGCACATATATTAAAGAGAGATAAGTGGCTGTGTGCACCTCTGATTGGTGCAGAAGGTGGACATTACCCCTCCATTATTTTTTAAAAATGTTTTTAATACCTTTTGCTTGGTTCTTAATGCAGGTGCGATTTGCATTGTCCCTGGATCTCACTGATTAATCGCATGTGAGGTGATCTTGCTTTTCTGTGGACAATTTGGAACTTCAGTACAAGTTTCAGATAGGATTCCGGGAGAAATGATCTCTTTTAACAATTTATTTGGGAGCTCTCTGCAGCCTTCTCTCAAGTTTTACAGAAAATGCCTGACAAATAACCCATATTTTGCACTGACCATGCATTCAATTACAAATCCCTTGGGTACAGCTATGACGGTAAAGAGGGCACATTTGAAGCCACATGCCACAGACATCAAGAGGAACCCCCAGGTACATGAGCTTTACAAATTGGTTTATAGACTTCCGGAGAACCTTAGCTGGCTGTTGGCACCACCAGAAGTTCCTAAAAGACCTACCTCAAAGAAGAAAAAACAAAAGGATGAAATAGTGACTGGTAACAGCTTTGGTGTGATCTTGGAGTGGGAGGGAGTTGTTGTGGACGATGATGATCCTGACTTGGAGCCCCGGGTTTGGTATGTTCTATCACTTGAAGAGGGAAAGTCTTTCCCTCCAGATGTATTGCTGAAGAAAATTGAGGGAATGAGAACTGACCAGGCTATTTCAGAAGTCTTATGTTGGTCAGAAGATCCAGCAGAAATTCAAAGGTTGGCAGCACACAAGGAGGTAATATATCAAACACTCAGAGGCGGATACTACCAGCTACGACCAGGTGTGCTTGATTTCTTGAACACCCTTGTGGGTTTTGACATTCCAATAGCAATTGCAACACCTCACTCAAGGAAGAGCCTTGAACAAGGGATTAAAACTGTTGGTCTGCAAGGCTACTTTGATGCTATAATTGCATTGGAGGACTTCTGCCTAGGGAAACCTGATGGTGAGATGTTTGAGGTCGCAGCGGACCAACTTGGTCTGGAGCCAGATGTTTGTGTTGTGTTTGGTAACTCAAACTTGACGACAGAATCTGCACATAACGCTGGGATGAGATGTGTGGCAGTTGCAGGCCGACACCCTGCCTATGAGCTCCAAGCAGCAAACCATGTTGTGAGATGGCTTGACCAACTCTCTATTGTTGACTTGCAGATGCTTGCTAATGGTGAGGTTATTGGTCGCAGGGGTAGAGAATCTGACATGGATATGGAGATTGTGATCGAGGAATGATGCTTCTGCAAACATGACGTACCAATATATTGTTGTACTTATAATCTGATGTAGCCTAAGTAGTGCATTTACATTTTGTAAACAGGCCAAGCAGTGCAAGATCAGGACTAATGATAGTCCTGAGTTTGCATTACCTTCTTGGTTTGGTTGTGATGCATTGGAATTCCTTTAGCCTAAAAACTGTTAGTCATTAGAGTTGGAAGTGAAGAAATTCACACCCATAACTTGTGTATGTACAGTATATATGTATTACCTATCTTTGACGGGATACCTGCTAGGCTTTTGGGATGCACCTACAATACAAGAGCTGTGTAGGCTGAAGAACTTGCAACCGTAGTTGTAGGGTGAGGGATGCCATGATCTGTGTCTTTGATGAGCAATGAATGAACTTGTGTGACTATATTTGACAAAATTCAATATGAGAAAACGGACAATGTAATGTTTAGTTTTGATTATGTACATTCCGAATTTTGTTTGTAGCCTCCTAACACTGAAGATCATAATACTCATAATAAACGTATGTTTATATTCTTTTATATAGAAGAAATAAAAGAAACCGATGTCTAATTCAAGAGAATCTAGCTCTGCTAGCTATTTGAATAGACCACCCTAGTTTGTACTTTGTAGTGATAAAATCTAACCGGATATGGTTGGCGACTGAAAATCGAAACCAAGTACAGCAGATTTTGCAGAAATATATATAATTGGCTTCCACAAGAAATACAACTTTGCTTCAATTCATGAAGCTTTCCAGATCGATATCCAGCTTTCAGCTGTCCCTTCATCGCTTCCCTATAGTTTTAAGAAGAGCCTCGCTGATCATCCAGGGCACGACGACACCGGAGCCAGCAAACTGCAGGAATTGAACAGAAACAACAGCATCACTAAAACAAACTCTCCAACCAAGAAGTCAAGGGTGAGCTACACAACTGCTAACCAGAGCAGTATGTATTGCAATTGCCATGTCTTAACTAGATGGTGGTGATATACCTGAGCTCGTATCTTGAGGCCCATAAAGCCATCTGGTGCCGAAGCCTGAACCGAGTGAACGTCCAAATGGAGGCTCTTGATGGCGTCGAACACCCGTGTCATCAGGAGCTCCTCCCACCGGCATTGCACCTCCAGGAGCACGTCCCTGTCCGAGACGGTGACGGTGACGTTGCTGGTGCCGTCCTTGGGGAAGACCCAGGGGTGCTCCTTCTCCACGTCACCGCCGAACTCTGGGCTCTTCCTCTTGGAGCCCGCAGAGAGTTTCTTCCTGACACTCTCATTGCCAATGCCACGGGGCCTTGTAGTTGTAGGCCTTTCTGTCGTTTCGGATGGGCGCGACAGAAGTTCCCTACTGGGTTGCAGCTCTTCTACCCTTCGCTGAAGCTCCTTGAGGTAGGCTATCGTTTCGGCGAGGATCGACGCTTTGTCCACCTGCCAAGAAAAGGTGTCTCCAAGTCTTGATACAAACAAACGTTCCCAAATCAACAAGTTTTGCTTACCTTGTGAATGGACGGAACCAATGACTTGAGAACGAGGAACATCTCATTGAGCTTCTCTCGGCTCTTTCGCTGTGACATGACATGATTCCTGATGCCACTTATTTCCTGTGCTGTTGCCGTCGTGCCCCTGCCACCACAGTTCGCCCAAGCTCCGCCGCCGGCCACCACTTTCTTCAGCAATTTCTGGGGCTCTTGGATGACCGGCACCGCCACTTCATCGGAGCACGACTGCGATCTCGTCCAAGCCTTGAAACTGGTCGCGCGAGAGCCGTCAACTGGTGCGCTTGATGAGGTGTCGGCAGCGTTGTTAGTAGTAGCCCCCGGGACGGCGGTGGCTTCGGGGACGACGTCCATTTCCTCCCAGAGGCTGTAGAAGTCGTCGATCTCCTTCGTGATGTGCTCCAGGCTTGCATTGAACAGGCTCTCGGCTTCTCCTAGCTCCTGTCCGTGTCCCCCGGCGGCAGTCATCGTCTCCATGGCATTGTGACCGAGGTCCTCGAACACAACAATGACTGCGGCCTCGCCGGCTTCGCTTGCTGACGGGTTGGAGCTCGGCTCTTGCAAGTATGTCGGACATTGCGGCTCCAAGAAAGCTGCGGTTGCTCGGCTGACCAAGTCCGGGTCCTCCGGCACCTGGCAATATCATTTAGTTTGGTGATACTAATATTAAAATTTCTCGTTTTCACTTTTCAGATAATGTAGTAGTATATAGTATCTATACATACCGTATCAGTTGTACCCAGCTCAAGCACGCCACCCATAACCGGGATGCAGACGATTGACTGCGGAAAACACGATCCAGGGTGCAGTTAGTTGTAGCAGTCACAAATCTTCAGACTACGCAGTCTGAAAGTGCCCTATGTGATGTTTCATGGAAAGTGCTTACCTGAATGGACGCGCTCTGCTTGACCGTAAGTAGGCACCCAAGGCCACACATGCAGGTACCCAAGTTCATGATAATTCAACAAAGATCGCAATAATAGACAAGACACGGAGAACGGGAGAATGCAGAGCGGTCGATCTTGACCCATCACCGTCGTCACAACTGAGAAACACGCATGCATACCTTGGACAGGATCGCGCGGGGGAAGGCTTTGCTGCCGGCGAGGTGCGCGTTGCACAGACAGACATGCTCGTTGCTCGCGAAACTCCTGCCGGGCAACCTGTAGCAGCACGCAAAACGCATGGCATGCGCCCGAGTGACGACATGCACCGAGACAGGCCACGAACCAAAAAAAAATTTGTTGTCATCAGGGGCACCACGAACAAAAAATCGATCGATTACCCTTGGCCTGGCTGGAAGGCGTAGGTCATGCAGACCAGGTAGTATAACTCGGTGTCCCCAAGGTCCTCCGGCGACAGCGAGCCGACCGGCCGCGCCGCCCGGCGGTCGCTTGTGGTAGAATAATCTGAAATAACATATTTTTGGAGGTGTTAGTCTTTCACCAGTCACTAAGCACTTCGAAAGCAAGATATATCGGACGGATTCCGTCGAGCACACCCTAAGGGAGAACTCGAATAATCTACGTTTTTCCTCCAGAATCCAATAATGAGAACGAGTTTATAATACTTAGTCCATTTTATACGACCAGAGTTCTTAGAAATGTCTTATTACAGTACCAAGTTTAGAGTGCGGAATTTAAACAGCCGGATTACAATAAGCATCTAACGGTAGAATACAAGGATCTATCTGTGCCCACCAGAAGAATCCTCCACGCAACAGCTACTCTTCAAACTGCACCTGCAACAGGGGTACATAAACCCTGAGTACACGATATACTCGCAAGACTTACCCGACTAGTGGGAATAATTTTCCGACTCTAAAGGATATGATAAGTTTTATGGGTTGCTGGGTTTACTTTTCGCAAAAAAGCATTACTAGTAGTGGATTATTGTGTATGTTTCTTATTAGCAGTAATGATTAGTTTATTATCTAGCCATTCTATGTAAGCACATGTTCTACTTTCAAGCAAGAGTTGAGCAAACAGATCCATTTCACCATATTTTATCTTCTAGTTCTTACTACGGCGCTAGACTGTAGATAAGTCATACCAGATTACCCGGCGATTCGCGAATCAATATTTTTAGCTGGGTACCCTGAAACACACGCCCCACTTGTACCCCAGGCACAAACAGGACCAACCCACCACTCTCCTGTCAAGGGGGCCAGGTCCCCGTTCAAACTTGGACTCCAAGCCTCCACACATGATCCCCGGACTCAGTTCGGTGCTTAGACCTTCACCATCCCCGCCTCCAATCAGTCGGTCCAGAAAGAGCCGGAACCCATGACAAGAGAGCAACGAGCCTTCTCTGCTCCCATAAACAAGTATGTGCTCAGGATAATAAGTCTGTGACTTACCTAGAACCCAATGCAACGGCCGGTCCTTAACCGACATGGACAGAGAAAACAATATAACTAAGCCATGTCCCGTTGACCGCAGGACACAACCTATTACACCAACCAATATCCATACCATATCCCTGCCCGGTCTCCATTTTTCTTTTCACCATTTTATCATGAGAGTGATAATAATAATCACATATTGTGAGTAACGGCAGGTTACTCACGTTATCGAAAAACCTAAGCATAGCAGCTACTCGACGTAAGCTAGTAGGACTCATAGGTAGATATATTTATGCATCTAGTTTCAATATAACTCCTATAACGTAAATGCACATCATATATATATTTCTAGTGATTATTCAAAATAAGGGTTATGCACCGGGACTTGCCTCGAACAGGCGTGGTGTCAGCTCAGTCAGTCAGTGATGGCTCCGGGACCTCCTCCTGCACGAGGATCTCCTCCTCGTACTCTTCAATCACCTCCTCGTACTCCTGCTCGTCCGCGGTCACGAACTCCACCAACTCGTTCTCTACATGCATGCAATGATGATGCAACACTCAATGTTAAGGCAACAGCATTTCTTAAAGTAAGAATACATCTACTAAGCTACTAAGCTAGCTCTAATGACTAAGATACCGAGCTAATCATCATTCCCATCAAACCAGCAGGGTTTCGCCCACAAGTGCTACTTAGCAACTAAAATATATTCTTACTCTTATTAACGATTTCCTATATACTACAACAAGGAGTACTTAGCTACCATATTTATCAACATATTCTAAGGCTACAAAAATTACAGTGAGTTCATAATAATACAATGAACCTATTGTAAAAATTTTATGGTCAAAGCTATTACCAATTTACCACAAAAATTTCTACAAATATTAATCTAAATAATACTAAGCTTTCCTAAATGAATTAATGAACCTAACATTCTCATAGATAAATGTAAACTAACTACACCAACAGATATATCATATTTTTATGAACCTAACAAATTGTGTTTCACTATTTTTGAACACCTACATAATTTACTATAATTTTCCAAAGATCAGCTCAAAACTAAATTAGAAAAACATTTGCTAATTCGTTGGAAAAAGGAAAAACAATTCTCGCGCGGCCCATCCGCGCGGCCCACAAGCGCGCAGCGTGCGGCCCACGCGCGCAAACGACCCACGACGGGGGAGCCCGCACGCGTGCCGACCAACTTGCAAAAACGCCCTCGCGTTCTCCGATAATACTACTAACACTATGTGCGCTATTTCAACAGACTACGACTTTGCAATAAACTCCCTCCTTTACAACAGCATGGTCCTCGGTCACCCGCGCGCGTGGCGGTGATGGCATTGGACGGCCACACCGGCCAGCCGGGCCCCGCGCTGGCTCCACTAACGAGCTGACCCCGTCTACAACCCTAGCGCCTACACTAGCTTAGGTTACAAGAGCGGTGGAGCTCGCGGGAGTGGTGACCACAGCACACGGCCATGCGCAACAGTGGCGCGACCATGCCGGCCACCCTAAGCTACCGCGGGGTGAACTAGCTAGCGCTATAGCATCACTATCTTACCCTGGTTGCGGCTGCGGTGATGGTTAGGTCGAATGTGGCCCGAGCGGTACTGACCGTGTGTGACCGAGCGATGCGGCGGCGCCCCGAGCATGGCACCTCCACGTCAGCACGTCACCGGCAGTGCCTCCGATGAACTTGGCGCGTGATGGAAACGAGGGGGTCAAGGACGGCTCATTGCGTCGCGTAGCCATTCAATAGAGAGAGACAGGGTGAGATGGTGGATGGCTACACGTGCGGGCGGAGCAAGGTGGCAGCGGTAGTGGCACGGTGCAGAGAGGCGCTGTGCCGCCTCGGTGGGACACGGCTGAAAGCAGAGCAGGTGCACGTGGGGGGGTCGCGACCCTGTGCGTGCAGTACCAAGGCGGCCAGCGACACAGCGTAGTGATGTGACGACAGCGACAGTGGCACTCATGGCTCGCGGAGCAGTGCAACGCAGCAGAGCGAACGTGGGCGGCCCCAGTGGCAGCGCACGACAGGACTACGGTGGCAGCAGCGCGGCAGTGAGGTGGGGCAGCTGCGCGCCAGAGCTGTCGGCCACAGCGGCCAGCCAAGCGCGCGCGCGCGGCCGGCGCGCCGACGTTGGCTCAGGGGCGCGGTGACCGCGCCTACGCGAGGACACCGACCAAGGACGTGCCATGCATGCTTTTTAAAGCGTCCAAATCAACTAATCGGTTGGCCAAACACCCAAACCATCTTCGCCATACATTAGAGGGTACGTAAGGATACTAAAACAATCCGTAACACTACCCTACTTCTTAACCAGATTGCCGTACAAAAATTACCTAACATCGCAAGGTCTAGCTCACCAAAGTTCATGAAATCTTCTAAGTGTTGAATGACTTCCTATTTCTAGTTGCATTTCCAAACCCTTAGAAATATAAGCTAGCAACATTATTTATCAACACCAAGTATTTCATTATCATATACAAAATTTGTACTTTCAACTTTATTTAAGTGTTGCATATATGTTCTATATTATTTTTGTTCGATAATAATTAGTTTTAAACCCTAAGTGATATAACATAACTATCAAATCAACTTTCATTTCCCATTTCTGCCGATCGTTTTGAGTTACGGAAATTGATTTACACACTTTATTACAAGCATTAAGACATAACATGATGCTCATGACATGTTTTAGTAAATGATTTACAGTTACAGTCTTACTCGCCGGACAGGAGGGCCTCGTACAGCTCTCGGAGCTGCTTGCTCCTCTGCATCATGAGCTGGTCGGCTGTCAGTGTGGTAGATCCGTTCGAAATAATGCACTTACGGAGGCGCTCGACTTCCACTAACACTAAGCACCCCGAGAGCGAGCTACATCGGGCGGGTTCCGTCGGGCACACCCAAGGGAGAGACCGAAAGATCCACATTTTCCCCCAAATATCCAATAATGAGAATGAGTTACAATACTTAATCCATTTCCTACATCCAGAGTTCTTAGAAATTCATTATTATATTGCCAAATTCAGAGTGCGGAATATTAAACAGCGGAATGATAATAAACATCTATCGATAATGAACAAGGGTCCGTCTGTGCCCACCAGAAGAATCCTTCACACAACGGTACTCCTCAAGTTGAACCTGCAACAGGGGTAAATAAACCCTGAGTACATAATATACTTGCAAGACTTATCCGACTAGTGGAAATAATTTCCCGACTCCAAGGGATATGCCAAGCTTTATGGTTTGCTGGGTTTCTTTTTGCAGAAAGCAATTCTAGTAGTGAATCCTTATTTATGTTATTATTAGCAGTCATGATTAATTTATTATCTAGCCATTCTATGTAAGCACTTGTTCTACTTTCAAGCAAGAGTTGAGCAATTAGTTCCATTTCATCACTTTTTATCTTTCAGTTCTTACTACGGTGCTAGACTGTAGACAAGCCGTACCGGAATGCCGGCGATTTACGAATCAATGCCCCCAGCTGGGTACCCCGAAAACACACGCCCCGCTTGTACCCCAGGCACAAGCATGACTAATCCATCGCTCTCCTGTCATGGGGTCCAGGTCCCCGTCCAAACGTGGACTCTAAGCCCCCGCACCTAAGTCCCGGACTTAGTGCGGTGCAAGGACCTCCACCATCCCTGCCTCCAATCAGTCTGTCCGGAAAGAGCCGAAACCCACGACAAGAGAGCAATAAGTCTTCCCTGTGCCCATACCCAAGTATGTGCTCGGAATAATAAGTCTATGACTTGCCTAGAACCCAATGCAACGGCCGGTCTTTAACCGACACAGATAGGAAAAAAGT